AGATATTGGACATTTAGCAAATGCAGATATTCTAGGCCCTGAAGATGAAGCTAGTTTATCAGTGGTCTTTCTGCATATTTTCAGCAGTTGGCAATTATAATTTATAAAAAGCTCAGCTAATAACATGAGTTTCAGATCAGATTTCATGTCACAATAAATCATATGCCATTAATAACATCTGCTAGCAGACTCACCTTGAAATTCATCTATATTTTAAGGAACCTGATGTTTCTAACATTATCTTAAGGAAATTAATTACAAAAATATATAGTTCCAGTCCTACGTGCTTTGGTACTGCGATATTGAAGGAACTTGAAAAAAGCAATGATTCTCAGGGTATTGAAAGACTATTCAGAAAGATCATGCATTTCTAAAAAAGAATGTAAAGACTTGAGCAAAGTATTGTAACAGAGACTGATGTTTTAAAATGTTTCTTTTTTTGTGTAGTGAGAAAAAAAGGCAGATTTCTATTTTTGTTGAATACAATTTTCCAAATGATGTTAGTTCACAAATAGTTTGTTCCACTAGCAGTTATTTGCATGTGGCAACACTCCATAATATGTTGCAGCAGCGTTTTCCTGCAGTGTGTGAAAGTAGAACTTTTTTAGATGTCTGCTAAACCACAAGACTTTATTCACCAGAGTGTGAAATTTTCTATGCAATCTGAATGGTTTAGGATCAGCAAGTCCAGCTCTAGTCAGATTCATAGTGGGCTCCATAGTTAATAGCACTTACTCATTTGAAAATCCTACATTGTCACATGTGAATATCTCCCATGATTTAAAAAAAATCAATTCTTTTGTGGTTTTATGTTAGTTTTCTCTTGCCTGATTTTCCAAGATTTTGAGCTCCCACAGCTATCATTCAGTTTTGTAAAGCAGGTCCTTGAGGTGAGGTTCTACTCTGAAAACAAATATGTAAAAAATTTTCTTACTGAAGAGAAACTTTAAGTTTATGCTGTGTGCAGATGTCTTTTGAAACCCAAAAGTGTTGTATTTGCTTCAGTGAGGTAAGTTAAGTTTGGGGTTGGAGAATTTTTTGCTTTAAATCCTGGTAATGATCCTCAAATTCCTGAGGACATTCCTTGACACTCTGATCCCAAGTTTCATGTGTAATTAGAGCATACCAATAGGGAAACTTCTGACACATTGTACTTGTGTGTGAAAGCAGAATCTTTCTGTACTTGCTTACCTTCTCAAAATGAAGATGAGAGCATATCACAAGGCTTGGAAGGACTTTTTAATGACTACTAGCCAATATTGTAGAATGTAGGTGGCTAATTATTAGGAACTGACACATTTTGAAACTGTTCATAGATATTGGACACAAAGACTTAGTATTACTGACTTACTAAAAATAGAAATAAATTAAGGTGTGGATTTCTAAACTGCCTACACATACTTAAACATTTAGGTCTTTGGAAAATCTCAGATTAAGTATGTGTAAATACTCATGAATTAAAAATCCACATTATCTGTTGTTTCTTAAATCTTCAGATGACTTAGCAGCTACCTTGTGACATTTCTTTTCAATGAAGCACCTGTTTGTTTCAGGTTCTTACTAAATTGAAACCAAGTCCCTCTGTCAAAAGAGTCTTTGTGTTCAGAAGCTTAAATTTCACTGAAAAACACTTAATACATGCCTTAATCACTTGAAAATGTTATACTTGCAAGCTGCAATATGGAATGGCTCCATATTGTTTTCCTAATAAGGTTCAGCATAAATGTCTAACAGTGATTTTAAAATATTCATTAGTTGTTCCTAAACATGGATCTACAGGAGAATTTTTCTTCTGGTGATGGTCAAATAGAAAAGAATGGAAGTGAGAACACAGTAGCATCCCCACCTCTGTCAAAAGAATGAATCTTAATATGCCATTTTAAGTAATCGTATCTTCAGATCATTAGCACACATTATCAGAAACCAGTACTGACATTGCATTAAGATTTAAATGTGTTCATAAAAGCCAGAATCTCGGCTGTCACATTACCCACTCTACAGGTCTGAAGTTCTGAGAACCCTGTGCTTGAGAAAGCAGGGTTCACTTCCCAGCATCTCCTGCTTAACAGTAGGGTCAGATTTTGTGATTTCAGCGTGGAAGGGCTGAGTTAACCCCAGGGGGAAGAAAACTTGCAAAAGACAGCATTTCGAGTAACAGTATCATTAAACTAGGACATACTGTTGAAATAACAATTCAGTTAGGCCAAAATGCCCTGCAGGGAGATCTGTGTAAACATCATAGACTCGATGCTGGGAATAACAGATGTATGAGTTACGTGACTGGAATATACACAGCGAAACAAAGAATACGTTCAACAAAAAATAATTCAAGTTGATATCAACTATTCTAAAATAATATTCAGTTAAATTAGGCACGCTAATTTGACTCTCTGGCACCCATAGCATAAAAGGTATCTCTTAGTCTCAGTAAACTCAAGTAGTATTTATAAATTGCATTCACAGTCTTAAGTACATCATCTTTGAGATTTTCACACATTGGTCTATTTTCCTCTTTTATGAACAAGAAATCCTAAAGCAGAAAAAGATCCTATTCCTAATAACTCGATCTGTATCATGTTCTTGACCATGTATTTTTGAGATTCCCTTTCAGCTTGCTTAATTATGCTTTTGTTTTGTGCCAATAGCTATGCACTTAACCTGTCAGGGAATTTTTAAGTAATAGAGAGTACTGATTTACTTTGTCCAAGTGATGTCCAAGAGAGTAAGTGTTCTTTTAATGAATATGAGTGAAGGAAGTTAGCTTTTATTTTGACCTCCATGTTACGTGACACTGTTTTAATCTGGGAAAGCCACAGAAAGAAAAGGTGGGAGAAATGACAAGTAAAGGACTCTTCAGCAAGTTCTTCCATGTGTCCCAGCTTGAGTACTGCACTATACAATGTAGTCATCATAGTATCATATCTTGACTGACCTCAAGAAAAAAAAAAATCCTGTCATACAAACACAGATTTCTAATCCAACCTGGCAGCAAAGAAGCCAGAACACAGTTATTCCACTTGAATGTCGGAGATTCCCCACATCACTTGCTGTTGAAAGCAAGTACTACTTCCAGTTTGGTGACTGAACACCACAAATTAAAAAAGATCAGTGTAACCTTTCTCCTTATTTTTCCATAAGGCAACCTCAGTTTAAAAACAAAGTCATTTGTCATGGGGTGAATAAAATGCTCCATTCTCAGATGTACTTAGCCTTTGTTTTAAAGTTGGCTTATTTTAGCTTTGAATTGAAAAGTCAAAATGTTTCATTTTGAATAGAACAAAACTATTTTTATATTTTCATTATTCTTCCAGTTTTTCAGCTTACGTGATGGAGTCTCTTGGGTTGAGTCACAACTGCATATTTGCAGTGAATATACTAATCATCAACACAAAATTCCTAACTTGAATTGAAGACATTTCAGTCTCTCTCCTTCAAACTCTCCTCCCTTTCTGGTTGTGACTGAGCTGAGAATGCTTAAAAAGAAGACACTGGCCCCACGGAGAGACCAGATTGCAGACATCTGTTACCTGTCCCATTGAACCCACAGGTTTCTTTTCATAAAAGGATAAGACTCCAGGGAACAATACCTCTGAACTCAGGCAGTATTACTGCAACTGTAGTCATCAGAAGAAGCAACACAAGGTGAAAATATTTATGATAGTGTGTGAAATATTTTCACATGAGCAAGAGATGGCTTGTAGTTAGACAGGTTACTCTGCGTAGCTCT